ATTCATAATTGCTTTACATCATATAGGACGAGCCAGTGTGGTGAATAATGAAGATTCCGAGTAAGATGTTAAATATATTAGATAGTCACATCATGTCAAGTCTACTGTCGTTGAATATGTCTAAGATTCTAGTGTACTAATAACGAAATGAGGACAAGAATGACTTACGGAAGGAAACATCTTGTTTTATTGCAGTAACAAGGAAAGAAATGCTGTTGTGATGGACCAGCTAACGTCGAAGTCACACCTCGTGGTCAGCACCTTACATGGACTACCCCATTGATATGTCAATGTATCATTGATGCTTTGAAGACTGTACAACACAGAAATTATTAGTTAAAGTAGATACAAGCGAAAGGAAAACCACAGCCGCATGGACCAGTCCATGACATACGATTAACTGATGCGCGTTGGTCGCCTTTGACCTTGACGAGGACCGAAGACTTGTTCAATATTCAATGACCCAACCGCCGGATGATTTTGCTAGGGATCAGTAGAATTTCACTGCCCCTACACTATCCATATACTATGTCCTTCACTGATGCTTTCGAAATTAGCACGGGAACCTCTTATAAGATGTCTCCAGGATCACCAAGTCCACTTTCAAAATAACGAAAGAAAATATTACAACAGATATACTTTTGTGGGTGCAAAAATAGCAGCTGAAAAATGACAAACATAAGTCTCATTACGGCTTTCAGGTCATCTTCGAAAAACCGACTGGAAAAACTCGTATATCCTAATGGAGGATTTAAAAGTCAGCGTAAAGTTGAACATCACCGAGTACGAAGTCATCTTATGGCGACATAACACATGGGAATTATGAGAATCTGGTACGTTTGTGTGCCCTAAACAATTAGTTTAGAGGCAGTGACAATTCACCACGATACTCTATACAAGAAATTACACAGGTTTCACCGGACCACTTTACAAAAACCAGATTGGTCGCCTCAGAGAACACAGATCTCTATATAGATTTGACCACATCAACAATCGAAATAATTTATAAGGCCGTTAAACAAGACAAGCATGTTAAACGTCAGTACTAAATTAAACGGTGAAGTGAGATAAACATGAAATGTAAAGTTGCATTATCTTCTCTTCAGAAACATCCGGGAGGAAGTATTAGTATTGATGCTAATTAGGGCTTCAAGTAGTTTTCCAGAGCGCATTTCCTACTATATATCTAGTATATATAACCTTAGTTTTAGTGGACATAATTATGCTGAGTACAGTTTATTCAGGCGATCAAGCAACGTTAGGTTTCGACTAAATGTACACTAATGAGTAGACATACTGAGACAAAAGAACTACCGAGCCGTTCACAGACAATCAAACCACGTAAAACAGCCCAAATATGTGCCAAACTTGAATTTCTACCTATTCTTGCCGTAACGTACTCCATTTTTCCTGTTCTGTACATAGTGGTACAGTATTCTCGACATTCTGAGGTGTTTTCCTTGTATTTACAAAGTTCTTCACTTTTCGTTACTTATCCTCATATTATCAACGTCCACCACGAACAACGTTGTCATTAGCTACCTATATATATATATATATATATATATATATATATATATATATATAGTATGCGTTAGTAACATTCGTCCTAAGAAAACACCAAGTTTTCCACTTTATGAGCACCATACTGCAGAACCTAATCAAAGCACATTCTAATAATCAGAAAACTGATTCGTTTTCTGTTTATACCGTACTTGACTGCGGAGGTAATTCATAGTATATTTTCAAGGGTAGGTTAATACAACTCCGTCGCTCCAGACACTATAGAACATCTGAGCTGTTGGACACCGTATATTCTGCTCGGTATTTCCTACGACTCCGATCACTGGAACATTACGAACCAAGTCCAACTTATTCTGCTGTTTGGGTAAGTTTGAAATGTATTCTTTATCAAACATCTAATATCCTAAACATAGCATAAAACATTCAAAACTGATTTGGATTAGTTACTCTTAAATCCAGACCATGCATTACCTGAGGACCCACACGACACTTCCTAAGCAAATGTTTGAATTAGTTCTTAGAGAAAAAGAACTTCTTAGCGATTTATTTAGTCAACAAAATCAAGACATGGCTTTTAAAAACTTAAAGTAGCCCAAATTTGAAATGCTAGTAAGGAACTCAATTAAAAGCTATTGTAGCGGTAAATAAATCCCCAAAATAAATAGCCCTGTAAGTTTTCGACATTGGATGCTGAGCATATGTTTTAGTGGACTCATCTAGCTAAAGGCGCTCGGTCAGGCATCCGTACCAGATCACGTGTGGTAACGCCGTGCTCAACATCAACCGCAATCTCTAGCCAGATTAGATCAGACAATTCCGATATATTGATAATCGCCAAATACACTCTTCCGATCTCCTCGACTCTGTCTTTTGATTTCTCTCGGTGGGTACGAATCATATTGGCTGTTACTAGTAGGAACGTTGTCAAACACTGAATAACTGTGACATCATCATTGGTGAGACCGTCGTGATCTGGTACACCTTATTGCAACTGTGAGTCTGTTCCTTTTTGGGATTTTTATATATCATTACCCTGCAATTTTCCCAACACGAAACCGACTGATTCGAAAAACAATTCGGGAAACTTCCAAGCCGGCACGCGTTAACGGCAACCGTAGCCGGCGAACATAGCCGTCTGTTATACTTCACAGATGTGACAACGAGAGTTCGCTACCTCGTCGACACTGGCGCAGAAGTTAGCGTTCTCCCAGCAAATCCTAACGACCGACTTCACGAATCGGCTCTAAACTTACAGGCGGCAAACGGAAAACCGATCGCTACGTATGGCAAAAGGTACGTTTACCTTAACGTGGGTTTACGCAAACCCATCCACTGGATTTTCGTCGTTGCAGATGTTTCTATGCCAATCATTGGTATGGACCTTCTACAACACCACAATCTGATCATCGACACTCGCAAACGGAGGCTAGTAGACGGAAATACTAATTTGTCCGTTTGCGTAACTTCTTTTACTGGTTGCAGAGTATCCCCAGTCACAGTTAAGCATATGATAGACCCACTCTATCAACCACTACTCGATAAGTACCCTGGGATACAACAAACGCAACCGAAACTACCGTGTGTAACCAGCAATGTTACACATCACATCACGACTACAGGACCACCTGTATTTTCTAAAGCACGACGACTAGCTCCTGAAAAGCTAAGGTTAGCGAAAAACGAATTCGATCACATGATGGACTTAGGAATCATACGACCGTCAAGTAGCCCATATGCATCTCCGTTGCACATGGTCCCTAAAAAGGACAGCAACGATTGGCGTCCAACTGGTGACTATCGGCGATTGAACGCGAAAACCATTCCCGATCGTTACCCGTTGCCTCACATTCACGATTTGACAGCTACCTTGAAAGGTACAACTGTCTTTTCGAAAATCGACTTGGTTAAAGCGTATAACCAAATCCCTATGGCTACTGACGACATACCGAAAACAGCTATCATAACTCCCTTCGGACTCTATGAATTTTTGCGAATGCCTTTCGGTCTAAGGAACGCTGCTCAAACATTCCAAAGATTCATAGACGACGTTTTTCGAGGTCTCAACTTCGTACACGCGTATGTTGACGACTGTCTAATCGCAAGTCCGGACAGAGAAACACATCTCAAGCATCTGGACCTTGTTTTCGAACGATTACAAAAACATGGCATAACTGTAAACGTTCAGAAATGCCAATTTGGAACCGACTCATTAGACTTTCTGGGACACACTATCGATGCTCAAGGTATCCGACCCCTTAGAACCAAAGTGGCGGCCATTCTGGATTACCCAGAACCGACCACCGTCAAGCAATTACGCACGTTTAACGGCCTGGTAAGTTTCTATAGACGTTTCATACCGAAATGCGCATTACTTATGAAACCTCTGACCGACCAACTTCGTGGAAATGCGAAATCCATTAATTTGGACGACACCGCACGAAAAGCATTCTCCACAGTTAAGGAACTGATCGCTAAAGCAACAATGCTCGCACATCAGGACACCGAAGCACCCATTAGCATCGCAGTAGACGCATCCGACTCGGCAATCGGAGGAGTCTTACAACAATGGGTTAACAACTCCTGGCAACCCTTGGCATTTTTCTCTAGAAGGTTGCTAGACACCGAATCGAGGTACAGCACATTCGGTAGGGAACTCCTAGCTATGTATTGTGCTGTACGGCATTTCCAACACTATATCGAAGGCCGTGAATTCACTCTTTTCACGGACCATAAACCGCTCACTTTCTCGTTAAGCTCTCCTTCTGACAAGTACTCTCCCCGTGAGTCTCGACAACTGGACTACGTTTCGCAGTTTACTTCAGACATTCAACACTATAATTGACACGAAAATCTAATCTAGACATAATTAGAAATTACGGAAGTAGGAACACCTCTACATATAAACTTCAGTGAGAAAATACGAAATATATTTAGAGTAACTAGTTCTAAGAAGATAAACAAAAACTTGCATGTATAGATTAGGTAAGAATATCGATGGGACTGTGATGTAATAATTTTAGAAAATGAGGTTAGTATTGAGTAGTGGCAGAAACTTCAAACGAAGGAGAAGTCCTATAATTAAGACGATTAATATGGGGACTAGAAAATGACATCTATAAGTACGCACAGTAGGTCATAGGCAGCACACAATAGTAGCTGGGAAGTGTACGTCAACACCAATGAATCATAGCTTATGCAAAACTGAGAACAATTACAAATTATCAACTAATGTTGTATTTCGAAGCAATTAGAAATAATCAGTAATATTAACTTTTCCATTTTTTCTTGTATATACGATACACAAATTGTGTCAGTATACGAATAAAAAAGTAGCATTTCAATCAGGCGAAAATGAAGGAAAAATTTAACTAAATAATGAAAAGAACAGTGTACAATAATTTATACACAAAGTTAAATGGCGACAACACTGCAAGTCGGCGAATGGACGGCATTTTGAATATAATAATAATCTCACATTATTTCTTGGTATTATTATTACTAACATATTCAGTCCCATCATCTGGTGGATGTCCATACGTCGAATGAATTATAACATCCTGGAAAATTGTTAACAAGAAATTTGTATTATTGTTAAGATAATATAAATAAATATACGCACACAACAATAAGGTGAACATGCAATTAAAACAATTAAACACAACTAGTGTGCTTATTGAGTTTTGAGCTAGACACAATAACCAGTTAGACGTAAGGCAAAGTAAATTAGTGTGAAATTGGGCAAATCAACAAATTCAGGTTAAAATATGAATCCTACTGTATTTTTCGAATATGCTGTTATATTCGTAAAACAATTTGGTAAACTACACTCAACAATTGAGGTTTTACAAAAATGAAGTGTCCTTTATGGATACTATTCAGACTCAACATGTACTTTCAAATACAATTGATACGTCAACATATAAAAGATAGTTGAATGGATAAAGATTAACCAGCAGAATAAAAACTAGCAGATAGGTTTAATATTTTTCTTCACATGAAACGGCTACATATACTCTTCCTAGTGTGGTGGGTAACACAAATATTCGTTGAAAAATAAAGGTGATTCAGCAATCTTACTTATTGAAGACCAATTATTGTATTTATAGTGATTTAATAAACATATTTGTCTATCGAAAAAGAAAGAGATCATAACAAAATATTCGGAGATTTCGAATATCATAAAAGGGTTGCGTAACAACCTAAAGGTTAGAGAATAATAAAACTGGTGTAATTTATGGGTCGGAGAGAGATACTTGTCTAATTGACAGGTATAAAGAAGAAATGAAAAACATGAGGGTGATAGTAACAATTGAAATAGTTATAAAAAGTTGTAGAAGAACAACGATAACTGGTTAGGATATATTTCTACAAATTCACTAAGTGATGTCGTAGAAAAATCTTATCACCAAATTGCTTTTATTTATTGTACATTAACACAATAAATTTCTTTCGTCACGAAGACTCATAATCGATTCCTGAGTGCGGAATCGTGGATACACACAGTTAGAGAGTCCCATACTAGAATAGAACGGCCGTCTAGTGTTTCCAGGTTTTCAATGGTTGTCTAACTTAGATCAGTTCATGATTTCAATAATATTCCTATCGATTAATATAAATTGTGTTTTTCAAACATGACATTGAAATTTTATAGAAATCAGTTTATAATAATCTATGCACTTAAATATGTATTTTCATCGAATCAATTATATTAGAGAATGTATTTGTTTCTAAGAAAAATGGGCAGAAGATATTGAAGTATGTTGGATGGGGGGGGGTAAAATGATATCATTAACTTCATATTTAAGATTTAGTTTATGTCACTGATAAAGCATATGGACAGATAAACGGGTACACTCGAATTGCTTAACAATGAATAATCAAAATATACCTATCTACTCCACTTAATGAAAAAGTGATTGATAGCATTCAATATGTGAATGAAAATCATATTGATTAGTATTATAAGGAAGTAACTATATAACTTAGCCAATTTAGTTACATTTGTTCACTATAACAGTTTAATCTTATGATGTCGTAAATTATGTTCATTTATTAAATTGTTGATTGATTAGTATCAAATGCTACTGATCATTATAAATAAAATCAATGCGTTCAGATATAGTTTTAGATCCCTTGCTTTCCAACTTGTACCGAGCCAATATCAATTTTTTTTTAATAACGGTTAGGTAGTTTTAGGTTAATGAAAACCAAAAAGGTTTGTGTTTTCATAATTATTAAAAATTAATGAACATATGCAGATAATAAACCACAATATCTGTGATTGTTACCTCAATATTTAGAAATCGAAGAAATATGAAGGTCATACTGACTGTATAGTCTAATACTCATCTGACAAAATACTACATTAAGAAAACCGTTAAGAACACCATGAACAGGTAAATTAAAGTGGAATAGCATCCAAATTTTACTGTTTATATATATCGTTAAGATATTTTAACAGTTTACTGAATGATAAGTTCACATGAATTTATTTATTTGAACACATAAATATTGGTATAAGAGGGCGCCAAATACATATGCGCCACACAAAACAATGAGAATTTAAAGACAAGGAAAAAAGGTAAGGAGCGTGATGGAAAAACTGAAACTATAGAGGAAGGCAAAGTATGGAAAGTATTATTTGATTAGAAGTCAGTGTATCTTAATAAACAAGACCATTGTAATGTGCACAAACAATAGTCAACGATTTCTTGTCCGGATACAACACAAACAACAACAAAAGACTTACATAAATCTAGGAAAGATATGCATATTGCACAGATTACATTAGAATTACCAATCATCATGGACATCGGCGAGACTATAATTTACGGACGAACCAATCATATATAAGATAACAGGTCTTGAATTTTGGCACGAAATTCACTCACTTATTTGTCTAAATAGTATTTCGGCATTTTAACTGATGTCAATTAGTAATGAAAACCCTAAATCCTCACACTAGTTTATAACTCTCATTTAGCCCTAGTTATTAGGTGGACACTCTTCAAATCACCTTGGTGTTGCTCAAAGGTCGCCCATAAATTATAGTCTTAACAGGACATCTTATCAATAAACCAAGGATATATATACGATAACACATACAAAAAAAACAAATTACAGCAAACAGATTCTACAACAATGACAGTGAAAATAAATACCTATAGACGACATTTATACATAAATACAACTGCCGAGCACATTAATAAAAACGCACACGAATTCCATTCTTGGAGGGAATCCATGTAATTGCTGGTAGGTGGGTAAATTTATCCATACAAAGTATCTGGAAGCAACATACATGCGTATTACGTTGATTGAAAGTATTATATAATGAAAACCAAAATGAACAATTATGCATGAAAAGTAAATAAATGATCATAATGAATTCATTTTAAACTCAGATGATTCAGGCATATTTCTGATAGAGAATAAGATTCCAATTAGACACGACCCGACCGTAGATGCAATCTTGAAGTGGTGATCGGATTTGTCCATCGTGATGACTCAACCTAGCTATATTGGCTGGAACACATGCTTCTTTAGGTCCTACCAACCCAGGCATGTCTGTTGGAGGACGGTAAAACTAAAAGCACCAGCTTAAGTCCGAGGGTGACGTCATACTTCTGACTGTAGATGAATGTGACAGTAGTAAGGTGTTTCCTTCAGACAACCAGCGTCGCAGCAATTCTGTCTTCTCAAAACGGAAAGGGCTAGGAAAAGGTCAACCCCCCACAAGAAGTTGTCCCTTAGGCTCTACTATTACGCTCCCGGGTTGCCAAGTCCAACACTAATTAGGCTTTCATTCCAGGTACTTTAAGAAGAAATATCCTTCCACGATGTGGACACCCGGGAAGTGAAAGCCGCTCTTATACCACTATCAGCACCCGAGATTATCTTTTTGGCGATCAAATCCTTCCCACACCTCTTAAAAATTCTTCCATAGCCACGACTAACTCTTCCCATACATTTCTATCACCGCGCGCAACCAGTGTCAATGATTCGAATTCACGAATTGGTATTCTACCTTTAAATGTCTTAGTATAATTGAGTTGTAAGTAATCCAACTCTTAGTGGGGTTGAAAAGGATATAATCAATGTAAAACGAGGGAGAGCAACAGGGCCTGGTGAATAAACCTATGAGGATTTTAGGGAGGCAGGTCCAGTGTTCGCAGTTAAATTGATTGGAATCTTAATCAAGATCTGGGAACTGGACGTAATCCCATCCGAGTGGTCTTGATCACTGATAGTCCCAGTTTATAAGAAAGGACAAAAATTCTCTTGTGACAATCATAGAGCGATCAGTTTAACTAATATGATGTCTAAAATATTAGCCACAATTATACTTTGACGTCTAACCAGAGCTCATGAAGAGCAAACCCAAGAAAACCAGGCTGCTTTCAGGCTTTGATGTGGATGTAGACCAAATATTCACCCGTAGGTAGAGTCTGTAACACGGACATACTTCTCAATGTCTAATGACAGTTGAATTTCTTGACTCTAAGACGACGTTCAACTCTGTTGATTGTAGTTTTTTAGCGATTTCTGTGATTAAAAGGCGTGCCTAAGATGGACATTAAACTTGTACAGACTCTCTGTTTGAATACTATTGACCGAGTCAAAGCTTATGGTGAATTGTTATTGTAAATGGTCACGTCAAGTGGTCTTCGTCAAGGTCGTCGGCTTGCCCTACTTTTATTCAACTGTGTTACAGACATACTTTTAGGGACAAAATTTTGACCGTCTGACTTTCCAGGAGTTGATCTTCTATCAGAAGATTCACTGGCTGACTTAGAATACACAGATGATATAGTTCTGTTTGTTGAAGACGTTGACAAAGTACACAGTCTTCTGACCACCTTAAGCAACAGTGCAGACATGTTTTGGATGCAGTTCTCTCCCTCCAAATGTAAAATGTTATTTAAGCATTGTCTTGCGTCACCACCTGGATTAGAGATGGATGTCAAGCAGTTGAACGTATAGATTGTTTCGCTCCTATTGGGAGTCTCATCAGTACTGATGGTCTGGTGTCTAACGAAGTCTTGGCACGTATTCAGAAGGCTCGACTGGCTTCTGCCAACTCGCGTCATTCATGGCAGAGTCGAGACATCCGCCTTCCAACTAAACGTGAGTTTACCATGCAGCAGCTCACTCCGTTTTACTTTATAAGTGTAAAACATGGTCATTAGGAATAGAGGATATTCGTAGGTTACCAATATTCGGTCATGGGTGTCTTCGGAACATTGTTCGTACACCTTGGGACTACAGAGTAAGCAACCCAGGGTTAGGAATAAAGCACTAGGTAAAGGTAGGAAATCGGTTGGTGAGGTAGCAAATCTTCACCAACTGAGGTTGTTAAGACATGCATCACATATATTCGACCACCGCCTACCCCGACGGGCGATGTTTTCTGGTACAGGAACAGGTTGGGAAACAGCTAGAGGCGGCCAAAACAAAACACGACACTAGTTTATGAAGTCAATAACAAATGAACTTAGCTATGTCCGTGTGATTATCTTAACTAATAGTTAGACTTTCAATGACGTGGCTCAAAATT